CTTGAGCACTCACCCGTCAAGTCATTTGTCACATTGTTCAAACAGTAGCAGTAATGCATAGGGAACTTGCCAGGGTCAACATTTTTCACGTTAGAAACTGTAAGGAGAGACAGAGAAAAATCAGTGTCTTGATGCTCCAGCTGTGTGAAAGAAGATGCTCTTGCGTGGAGCAAAGCGCTGAGACACTCACTGTTATAAATGGTGACTGACACTTTGTGGAAGGCAAATGAGCTGTAGGACGTGACGCTCAGCAGAGAGAAGAGTTTTTTGGTACCTGCAGAAACACATGCCCATGCTATTAGTGGTTGGAACAAATGATGAAAACAGCATGTTTTGACTCTGCTTATTTAATTTCTAAAAGACTCCTGAGATGTTGATATTATACAGCTGCCTGAGACTCATTTCTTTCCCATTTCCACTGAGGAAAGGATCATTTGTGTTACTTCTGGGTTTTGGGTTTTTTTAAAATTCAAACTTACACTGAATTATAAAGGGCTCTCTAAAGGCATCCCGTAAACAATTATGATGTGTCTATATATAAACACACACCAGTTTCTAAACTCTTTGGGGCAGGCAGCTATCTGCATTATAAATGCGCAAGGGTAACTTGCTGCTAGAATCGATCTGGAGGCAGACGGCTTGTATTTATGGCTTCTCCCGCTAACGCCATTATTCCTTGGTCTCCTTCACGGCCGGGCTGACAGCCTGCGACCTGCTCGGCCTCGTCACGTTACCTCTGAGCGCTGTGCTCAGCATACCGTTCACCAGCTCTGTCAGGTTAATAGCAGCCAGATCCAGGGACTTCGCAGGCAGCTCTGCAAAAGAAGGGGTCTCTGAGCAGTTGGCTGCGCGAGAGTTTAACAAAATAGCCGTTAATCCCCCGGTTGCCTACGGCAAAAAACTTCCAGAATGGGAAAAAACCCCAAACGAGCACGTTATGTATCGGGGTGCACTGAAACACTTATGGTGAGGAAATAAAGATGCCTGGAGTGCAGAGAGGTGCCTGGAAAATAAGAAGATGAAGTGGGCAGTGCAATGGTTGGCCAAAATTGAGGTCGGGCTCTGTGTTGGCTGCACCCCGGAGCGTGCCCTTGAGCAGGATGCCAAGGAGCCCGAGCCAGCCCTGGCGATTTGGTGCCCCCTCGTGCTGGCCAAGGGGTATTTACTGCCCAAACTGGCGACCAGCTCCTCCCAGGTCACAGGGAAAGGACCTGGGAGATGTCCCCCCTTCCCCAGTGCTATATAGAACTGGGATGAAAAATGCATCATTTTTTTCAGCTACCTTGATGGCCATGCTGCTACGACAGAACAAATTGACCGTGGCTGAACCACACTTTTTATTTTAACTGTTTTTCTTTCTGTTGATGTTGCTTATTTGTTTTTCCCTGGAGTCAAAATTTCCAAAGATGTTCTTTTGCTTCCCTCTCACAAAGCCATGCAGAAACAGAGCAGTAGGTTATCTGTGTGTGTGTGAGGAGGAATGCCTGTGTGTGCATGACGGAGAGAGAAAAAACAGAGCAGGATGGAAAAAGAAGCACAGAAAGTCGAGATGAGAACAAAATCGAATTTGGGAAGAAATACAATTTTACAATGACATCAGTATTATTTTTAACCAATTCAAAACCAAGCTGCATCACAGGACTGGAAGCCGAGCTTGTCCATAGCATAGGAGACAGGAAAGGGAAAACAAAAGGGAATGGAGAGCTGGGAAGGGGAGAAAGGAAAAACAGAAAGCAACATTTTAGATTGCTGGGAGGATGGAGGTTAAATGGTCAGAGACCTGGGTACGCCCTGTGTTGGGTGAGGAGCCCTTGCAGCAGCAGTGGGTTGGTGCTCACAGAGAGGAGAGGGGGTGCATGTGCCCCACCTCCATGTCCAGCACAACACCTCCCACTCCCATCAGCATCCCCACACAGGGTCCCCTGACGTACTGCTCCTTACCTGCGGTAGCCAGCACTGCCACTTGCTTCTCTTTCTTATTTTCTCTTCTTATGCATGAAGCTATGAAGTGAAGAAAGAGACTGAGAAACAGTTTTCCCTGTTGAGCTACCAGGCAACTCTCTCCTGAGCTCTCCACCTAGGTTACTTTGCCGCTCTCATTCATTTTCACTTAGAAACCCATGGATATTAGTACTGCAAAGCAGGGCACTGGGTATTCACAACAGCAGCTAAACAAGCACCTAAGAATAAGGATGTCCTAAAGGATTTGCCAGATCCTTTGGCTGCCAGCTAAAGAAAAAACAGATTAAATATCAGAACTTGCCCCAGGGACTCAAAAAATCAAAAGAAAAGATAATAGTAGCAAACTCTTGTAGCAGTCTGCTCCAGGCTCGCATACATCAATGACTGTGAGTAATATAGTGTCTATATAGTAAGACCAAATCTAAACAAATCTTCAAAGACTGTGTATGTTTGTTATTCAAAGCAGTTTTAAAACTGAGTGCTGTTCTCAAGAGCTGTGTTGTGGAAGGAATGAATTGGAGCTGAGCTCAGGAGTTAGGGCTCACTAACTGGGATTCCCTTGGTGACCAACAAAGGCAAGTTGCAGATCAGCAATTTAGACATTACTGGACAGGCTGAAGTACAGGGGTTTGGTGTTTAGGCTCCCTATCCCACCAGTGGAGAGCTGAGTGCTTAGAAAGAGTAGTGCAAATGGGGCAGTGCTAGCAAATGCTAAACTGCCATACTCTTCTGAAGCTTCAGCTTCTCAGTCCATCCATCCTCACCAGAAGAAGTGCTCTCCTTCTCCCTCCTGGGAGCTGGTGGGAAGGAGAGCCTACCTCCATGGTGTTAATGCCCCCCTCTGTGTTATAACCCAATGGGCTCACCAGGGAGTAGGAGACCTGGGTTCAGTGTGCTTTTGTCAGGAGGAAATCTGCAGGACTGGAAGCAGCAGAAGGAAGAAGAGCTGTGACTGCGTGATCTAGTTATTTGTACCTAAATTGGTGAAATCTGAGTGCTTGTTCTTATTTGTACAAAAATCTGTGTCCTGTAAAGAAGACAATCCCTGGGTACATTTCTCTTTCTCCTGCTCTATTGGGTTTGTGTGGCCAGATTTTGGCAGGGTGGGGTCTACAGGGTAGCTCCTGTGAGGAGCTACTAGAAGCCTCCCCTGTGTCCAACAGAGCCAATACCAACCAGCCAATATGAAGACAGACCTGCTGCTGGCCAAAACTGAGCCCATCCGTGATTGTGGTAGCACCTCTGGGATAACTAAGAAGGGGGAAAAAAATAGAGAGACAATTTGCCACAAAGATAGAGAGTGAGATGTGAGAGGCACAACTCTGCAGACACCAAGGCCAGTGGAGAAGGAGGGCGAGAAGGTGCTCCAGAGCAGAGATTCCCTGTCATCCTGTGGTGCAGACCATGGTGAGGCTGGCTGTGCCCTGCAGCCATGGAGGGCCATGGGGGAGCACAGACCCACCTGCAGCCCAGGAAGGACCCCACACCAGAGCAGGGGGATGCCCAAAGGAGGGTGTGACCCCATGGGCAGGCAGCTCTAGAGCAGGTTTCAGGCAGGAGCTGTGGCCCCATGGAGAGAGGAGCCCAGGCTGGAGCAGGTTTGCTGGCATGATGGGTGACCCCGGGGGGACCCAGGCTGGATCAGGCTGCTCCTGAAGGATGGCACCCTGTGGGGGGGACCCATACTGGAGCAGTTCAGGAAGAACTGCAGCCTGTAGGAAGGACTCACATTGGAGAAGATGGTGGAGGACTGTTTCCCATGAGAGGGACCCCACACTGGAGCAGAGGAAGAGTGTGAGGAGTTCTCCCCTGAGGAGGAAGGAGTAGCAGAGACATGATGAATGAACCACAACGACAATTTCCCATGCCCCTGTGCTGCTGGGGGGAGAAAGTAGAGAAAATTGACAGCAAAGCTGAGCCTGGGAAGAAGGGAGAGGTGGAGGGAAGGATTTTATAATTTTGTTTTAGTTCTCATTTTTCTACATTGTTTTGATTGGTAATAAATTTATTTTCTCTAAGCTGAGTCTGTTTTGCCTGTGATGATAATTGCTGTGTGATCTCTCCCTGTCCTTATCTCAACTCACGAGCCTTTCCTTATGTTTTCTCTCCCCTGCCCAGCTGAGGAGAGGAGTGACAGAGTGGCTTTGGTGGGTACCTGGCACTGAGCTAGCATCAACCCACCACATTCCTCATACAGTGCTGGTCAGCTGTATTAACAACTCTCACTTAATATGACAAAATCTAGGTGTCAGGAGTTCTAACCCTGCTCTCTCTTTCCATATAAAACCTCCTGACTCAAGATTCATGGCATGGGAGCCCAGAGTAGACTTTTGCCATCATCTGGTCTGCCCTGGCACCAGCTATGGAGCTCCAACCCATAAGCCTTGGGTATGCAGGGTGAAAGAAACAAGCCTGAAACAGATGTGGAAATGGGGCTAATGGAGCAACTGGAAAAAAAGACACTTGGGATATTCCCCAGGGAGCACCAAACCATTGTCCTTACCTGTGTTGCAAACCAGAAAGAGACACAGAAATCCCAGGCTCATCTTCGCTGGCATATGCCAGCAGAACCACTGCATTGTGGATTCTGACTTCCAGCAGTTTGGGCTGCTCTAGGAGAAAAAGATACTATTTTGGTGGTCTTAAAGTTTGTGGTATTGTGTGATTTTGTCCAACCCTTGTTCCAAAATGATTTGACCACAAGAGAAATAATAGGTCTCTGGGATGTGGAGAAAAGATTGATGGTGTAAATGGCAAGGAATCAGAAATCACATAATTAATATTTTCTATCTATGTCACGTGAGTTTAATATCATGACTCTGCTGCCATGCCGAGTTTCTTGGGAGGGATCAATAGTGCTCTGCCTTCATCCAGTTGCCTCAGACAATGAGCTGCTTTCCAGGTTTTAAAGACTTAATTAGAGGTGGTTAGAAAAAAAGGAAAGTCCTTGCTGCTTTACATGTGCCCCTCTGGTTTTGTTTATCAGACAGAACAGGCCAAATAGCCCTGTAGTTGTCAGAAAATGAGGAATAGTACAAAAATTAGCAAGAATGTCCAAAATTTTTTTTTCATATCCTCTTGGAGTATCTAATCTTGTGAGTATGCAGCAAACCATTATCTTGAAAATAATACTGTTTGATTAACAATTATCATCGTGTTTAAAATCTTTCTCATATTTAATTCACTAGAGAATGAACACATTCTGAAAATAGCTAATTTGTACTTAGAAATTCTAAAGAGCCTCTTCCTTGGGACGATGAAACAATACCAAGAATTTATGTGTTTGAAATATCTGTGTTTGCTCCTCTGATGGGCATTTAAGTATCAGATCTGCTAATTCAAACAAAGTTCTGAGAAGCTTTTTAGGTAGTACATCCTATCTATTCAGTTCATCTGTCTAATCCTTTTTACTCAACCCCAAACCTATACTCATCCATGGTTTTTGCACGGCATATGCAGAAGAGCAGGGCTGAGGCAGAGAGAAAGCCATGGCCAAATCTCACACCCCAGACTTCATAGTCCACCACCTTTCTGTGAGCTGGACTAACTACACATGGACAGAGTCCAGTGTCCTGGGGACCAGTCTAGCATCAAAAATCCAAAGCTTGGCTCTCCCTGCAACAATATTTGGGATCAGACCAACAGCTACACTGCAGATCATGAATGTGTTGATGGCATGGGAATCACAGGGCTTGGCACCCAGGCAAAGCTATCCCTCCTTCCTCTGTCCAGTATTATGAAGTTTACTGGGAGTTGTAACAACTTTTTCTATGGATCTGTGGACTCCAGTTAGCTTTTTTTCCCAGTCTAGTTTTTTTTTCCTCTTTGGTTTGACTGTATGCAATGAAGTGGAATTAGAAATACTCCTCAGTGGTGCTGAATACGAAGAGCGAGGGCTTTGTGAAGGTGTGAGGAGGCGGCTGTTGGGTAGAGCAGGCTGTGGGGTCAGTTGGGGTTGTGAAATGGGGAGATGTCAATGGGAGGTTTGTAACGGTGTATGTTTTGGAGCAGGAAGGCTATAGTGGCTGGGGCATGCAGTCAATTATGGGTCATGTTAAGGGGGAGCTGTTGGGTTGTGTGTTCGGCTGAGCTCAGCAGTGAGGTGATTTGCTGTTTCTCTAAATAGAACTTCAGGAATTTTTATTCCTGTACTCTAGGGAGTGACTGGTTCCTCACCTCTGGAAGTTCTGTGTTATGATGTGCTGTGCTTCGTGATGACTGTCCAGTGTTTATGGCCCACAGACCTCCCCCTGAGTGTGTTCCTCATGCCCATTCACTGCACACAGGGTGTGATCAGGCTGCACAGCCAGTGCTGTCTCTGTGTACACTGTCCGTGGGAGGGCTCGTTTTGCCTGAATGTCAGTTCTAGCACTGTGGTGTCCTCTGGCCAGTGCAAGAGGCTTAAAAAGAAATTTCAGAGAAACCTTAGTACTAATAACATCGGTCTAGAAAGGCCTGGCCTTACTCCTCAGGAGACAGAGTCTGACTTAAATCTGAAGCATTAGATATTAGCTGCTTGCCAAAACCCTTTCCCAGCATTACCTTGCTGCGTGTTTATGTTATCTGATTAAATCTCAAAGCCATCTGTGATAAATATTCCTAGAACTGCTGCCTGAAATATCCTACCTGTCAGGAATGTGGATATCAGTAATATTAACTTTTATGAAACACGTCATGTTTGCATTACTCTGGTTAACTGATCTCTTTCATGTTTCAGAGACAAGTCTTTATTACTTTGTAACTGTATCTTTTTTGTTTGCCAGCATAAGTGAACTACTGTGATGACTAAAATACATGTCCAGATTGCAAATATGAAAGCCTCATTGTACTCCAGCTCAAAATCACCAACAATTTTCATTTCAGAACACACTATGATTCACCAGCACTAAACACACAAGTGCCACACAACCATCCTCTCAAGTGACCTTCAGTGAATATTTTCCTTCCAAATATTTATCTCAGATAGGCTGCAGGTCAAGCTTTTAGTTACTAATTCTTCTTCACCCCCACTGGATATGATAATCCTCCTCTTATGTTTATTTTAAGCTGAACGACAGTAGTAGAATTCATTTTACTCAGAATTGTTGATCCAGAGTTCCCTGAATTGTTGAATTGGAGGTTTTAATCCAGGTCAGATTACCTTAATACATTTATGAAGAACTCTTATTAAATACCTCTTTGTTATTCTGGATTAACAGCAATCTTAACCTAAAGTGTTTATTAGCTATGCTTCATTTGAACTAATTTTAAAGTGGCAGGTAATCATGAAGTTTGAATTGTTTTCATTTTTCCTGTACAAACAGAGTGCAATCAGCTATCAAGTAGTTTTCCTGTGTCTTCATGCTAAACAAAGCAGAACAGAAATTAAGAGACCTAAGAAATAAGAACAGTCCTTGAGCATTAGTTTACTTACCTTCATTCGGTTCCGACGTCTGAAGCTCATCTCTCATTTTAAGCACACCATGATACACCAGGTCTAAAGAAATATTCCATGTCACTATGAAAACATGCCTGTGTTACAATTACACGCTTCGGTACACTGCTAAATCTATGCTTTAAGTTCAGATTTATTGTATGAGAATTTAAGCAATTATGTAATAACAATACATCCCATTTGCTACGTTCCCACAGAGCATTACTAGTACAGTTGGAAAAATTCCCTCCAAGTACACATGCAACCACCCATATGTGGAATAGTTAATATCAACTTACCTGATTTCTCCTGACAAAGATGATTATCTTCAGAGCGTATATCAATCTGGAGGCTATTGTCAGGTCTTAATAACCACTTTGTGAAAGACTTTGAGTAGACAGGCTGGATAATCTTGGTTTAAAATCCTGTGGAATTTGTTTTCCTAATCCCAGAAGAACTAACTAGAGATAACACAAACATCAGCATACAAAGCATCTGTTGAATCCCTCATGGATTCTCTGTGGCTGGCCAGCTGAGGATTGGAAGTTCCTTTTGGCAGTAATGACTGAAACTACAGAGCAGAAAGGATTTTTTTCCCTTTTAAAGGGACAGCTCATCTTACTGCAATTAGGCCAATGCCACCTTTGATGGCGAGAGGTGGGCCAGATAAAGCCCCTTTGCTAAAGTTTTAGCCATCCTTGGAAAACTGATTTAAACAAGGTGTACTGTCAAGAGAATGGAGAAGAAATCTGAAATGTATCTTAAACGTAGGAAATCAAAAGAAAAGAATCGACAGTTATAACAAAAAATTGCTTGGCATCGGTGTTAATTGATGAGGAAGGCAGAGAGACCTGGTCACAACAATGATGTAGGGCAATTTTGGTGGTGACGAGAGATGGTAAGTATTTCCCAAGAGAGGGTTGCTACTGGAAGCAGTGGGCAAAATTCTGCTGGTATTTACTCACATGGACTGCAAGTGATTCCTCCGAAATCCGTGAGTTTAGATACAACGCTGTTAAAAGCAGATAATCGTCCATTCAGTAGTTTTATCATAACAGCTCAACGTGTGACTTAATTCAAAACCTTGTAGATAGAGAGAGGCAATCTAAAAGAATTCATAGTCATTCCATGGAATAAAAAGTACTTTAAGGATCTGCTCAAAACCTCAACAGAGAAATATTCTGACCGGTGTTAGAAAGAGAGAGGGTAAGGAGGAGGAGGAGGATGATATGCACAGGACAGCTGCATACAAACTGTCTGTTGGGAACGGTCCCCAGCCTCTCCCCAGTTTCCAAACCCGGCTTGGGAAACATTGGAGCTTCTGCTCAGGAGCACTCTGGGATTGTCCTTCCAATGTCATGACCCCATGGACATTTGGTTTGCGAGGTTCCCTGGCACTACTTCATTTATTATTGTAGCTATTGCCTGGGAAGCTAGTGTGTCATCAGGTTTGTTTTGTTGTCACTTGTCTGTTTAATTGCACTGTCCCTGTCTTGCATTTCACCAGTTAAGGCAAAGAGAGCTTCCTTCCCAAAGAAGGAAGACACTTACTGCAACAGCTAAAACACTGCAACCTGCCAGAGTGTTAGATATAAGAAAGCGATTTTTCTCGTTTCAAATTTAATCATATGTTTTGGGGGTCCTGGTTTCCCACATAAAGGATGTTTATGGAATCATGTTACGCATATGGTAAGGCTGCGTGTCTGTCTGTCTCACAATCCTGCCTTCACCAAGAACTGGAAGGCAATTGCAGCCACATTTAACGGAGTTATAGCCGGTCAACATGATGCTTACACGTGTGCACATGCACACATGTACATTCTTACCGCTGTTTTCTTTCACTCTGCCTTTCATGAAAAAACATTATCCACTGGCATGTCATTACCTCTAAAATTACCTAATTCTATATGGAAGCCACTGGTGTGATAAAAGAAAAACATTTGTGATTCGTGACTAAATGCTGCAGCTTGAGGAAGATGGAAACACCTTTCCTTTGACAAGACTTTTACTGATTTAATTACCAGTTGCTCAATATCTCATCAAGAAGGCTGGGATGAAAGTCCCCTCTGTAACAGCTGACAAAACCAGGTATAGCCAGGAAAATGTGTGCGCTGGGATCAGTTCCAACCGTTT